TCTCATTGCTGGTTCCAGTAAACTGTTCTTATCTAAGCCCGTCATCTTTACCTCTTTTGTCTCCAATTCTCCTCTCCAGCCCAGTGCAGGATAGAGGGGGATGAGAACACGAAATTGGATAATACATTCCTAAACCACAACAGACACATTGAGGTATTCAGTGTTATGTTAGGATGAATAGCCAAAAATATATGTAATTTTCCAGTTCCAAAAATGCAGAAGCATCAACATTTATTTAAGATTCCTGAATTCCTATCCTTTTGCAATTTTTTTTTTGGTTGAAGCATATTATCATAAAGCTATGATTTATATAATATTACCTCTTGCAGGCCAGTATGTTTAGGAATAAAAAAAAAATATTGAGAAGTTGAGCAGGTAGATTCTATTTTCTTTACTTTTCTACATTTGGAAAACTCTTTAAGATTCAATTTTTTCCCTCTCTGAATTATATTTATCAAAATATCCCCAAAATGTGACCATATTTAATTTACAAATGTTTTCTTTCTCTTTGTAGGAATGTTTAATGCCCATTTAACTTCTCCTTTGAGATGAAAGAATACATACTGAAGAATCCTATCCCTTATGTTACTGAATAAGGCATGCCTACAGATTAATCCAGTTTGGGGTGCTTGATTGTTCAATTAAATTAGATGCAGAATAGGAAAAAGCAAATTGAATTATTGTGCCTTTACCCATCTGCACCATTCAGCCATCCCACTGAAAGGAGCAGAGAATGGTGCATGGAAAAAGAAGCATTTTTCTTGATGGTGGTCCCTCATCCATAGAGAAAAAGGCACATCCCTTATCACTGAATTTTTGCTCTGTATTAGTTAACCTGGCTTCTACACGGTCAGAGCTAAACTACAGGGGTGCTCACAGCAGGTGTGGAATTGCTAATCCTCCCTCCTCCCAGCCCACTCACTTCATTACCTTCGCTGCAAAGTCATTGCACCTGAAGAGCCTTTTTGTCCTGGCCATTTTCCAGTTGGTCATATTTACTGGTAAAGAAGTGGTAGCTGGGGTGGTTCCCCTTCTGGCTGTCTCTTGCTTTGGTGCCCCACTCAAGGCTTTTCTTTCTTGTGGTAACAGCCTTCTGCAAGAATATTTGCCTCTCTTTCTGCATTATTGCTACAGGCCTATCTGTTAAATCTTAAATACTAATGAATCATTAAAAAGGGTATTAACATATTTGTTGGCCCTATATGTCTGTCTTATTCTTCACAGTTTTATAGCAATTTCTATTAAAAACCTCATTACGGAGATTATTGTGACATGCTTTGAAACAGCAGCATTCATTACATATTATCTATGTACTGGAATTTGGGAAATTAATGCACCAGGAAATGAAATGACTCACCCAGGGTCTCTGAAGATGTATGTTCAACTCATGATTAAAATCCAAGCTTTAGATCTGCATTGTGTTAGCTGCACAATTTTTATGCTGTTTCTCTTTTTCTTTAAACCACATCAGTTTTACATTTAGATGGAAAATTCCACTGTGTTCTGCTTTAGTTGTCAAACGATAACTGGCATTTAGCCAATTATTTTAGTTAAATGTGGCTTGTCTGTGGGCATTCCCTCCCTCTACTTGGGGGTTCAAAGCATGGAGAGAAAATGGGATAACTGGGAAAGGAGAGCCAGGCTGTGGGGAAGGATGGGCAGAGAAATGGAGAGGCAGAGACCAAAGAACTGCTCAGGTGATAGAGTGACTGTGAGATGTGCTGCTGCTGTTGTGAGTCTTGCATCCACAAATGGTCAGTGTCATATGGATTTTCCATCCTTTCAGTTTGGATGGAGGAGGGAGAAAAGAGGGTTAGAGGTAAGGGAGGAATGAAGAGAAGCTGTGAGGCAGCTGCACATTGGGTTTTTCCATAAATTACCTGCTCTGGTGTGCCATTGCCCAGGTGGGTCGTGTGGAGGTGGTAGATATTTAGTTTCATAGGCTACATCTTCTGTAAAAATATGGTGTTTTGTGTGTCTGCTTCCAAATTGTATGAGTGGAATCAACTCTCAGAGTGCCTACAGCTTTCTGATTTGTGTCTTGCAGACATGTTGCCCTTGTCTCTCCAGGGGACTTGTACTGGTGACCAGAGGGGACTTGCAGCCTTTAGTGGGGAGACCCAGCAATGCCCTGGTTACAGGGTATTTTTTAGCAGGTATGATGAGGGATCCTGTCCTTGGGGCCAGCTGCCAAAGAATTCTTGACATTTTCAGTAATTTTGTCTGTTGTAGAGCAAATAAACATCCTTAGATATCAACATATCATCAATACTTAGTCATCATAAGGAGTTAGAAATTTATTTCTTAACTTCTGTTTTCCTTTCAATGCCAGATGGAGAGAAATGAACAAGAAATTCAGAGCAATAAAATTACAATTTTCTACATAGACAGATAAGTGAAGAATAATTTTCATTTAAGGGAGTATGTCTTCATTTTGGAGATGTCCTGAATACATCTTAGCTTTGGTTTGAGAAAGCAGATGTGTGAAAAAATTCATTTGTAATAATAATCGTAAAGAAATTAACATATGCTTATATTTTTCATTCCACTTTAGATTTTGTGGAACACCACTCATCTGTAAACTACTAAATGTGCACGTATTATTGCATAAACAATAATATTTCAGGTTAGAGATGTACTTTCTTTTTTTTTGCCTCTTCTGCAACTGCAGTGTGAGAACTGCTAGCCAGAAGGTTGAAGATTTAAAAATGGGAACCATATAGTTCCAGTGTAGCAGATTTAAAGGCTGTAATGCCACAGATCAACCAGGAATCCAACCAATTTAACTCATAAAACCTTTCAAATACAAAATCTGGAGTATAGTATCTGAAACTTCCCATTTCCTCCTTCTGTGTTTCTGTGTTTCCCAAGACAAGCTAAATGTAAGTTAATCTTTTGATCTGTTTGAAAAGATAACTTTGTCATGCAAATAAAACAAGGCTCAGTCTCCAGTTCAATTCTCTTCCATTTAGATTTTTATACTGAGCATCACAGGGACTACTGACTATCTAGGTGTACCTTGTGAATCCAGATTTTGGATTTTCCATGACAATTTTAATTGCTCAATTAAAATGTAAGTAAGTAATACTCTTAGGAAATAGAAAGTTGCTTAAAAAAATTGTGTCCTGCCCAAGACAGGACAAGATGGGTCCAAGACTTTCTTAATCCTCAAAGCCTGCGCTTCTGTATATTTCCAGTACATGAGGAAATTCCCAAAATACGGCAGTAACTGCAAGAAAAACAATACATAAATGAAGAAACAAAGTCAGTAGCAATTTTAATGAGGAAGTGGTTGTGTTAAAAATTATTTGGAAAATTAAGCTCAGGCTTTTAACAAAATATTTTGCATAAAATATTTTTCTGTACTTTAAGAATTTTTTTTATTTGTAACATATCTGGTGAATTTGTCAGTGTGGTGAGCCACAGGAGTAGTTCTCCCTGAAAAGCCGTGGATGTCCCATCCCTGTAAACGTTCAAAGACAGGTTGGATGGGGCTCTGAGCAACCTGGTCTAGTGGAAGGTGTCCCTGCCCATGGCAAGTGGGTCAGAACTAGATTGTCTTTAAGGTCCCTTCCAGCCCAAACCATTGTATGATTCTGTGATTCTATGATTCAATTAATACAAAGTATACCACTGCCTCATAAAACAAAAACCCAATCCTGTTTAGAGGAATACAGTATCTGCAACAATTTCACTTACCTGCAACAGTGAACGTGATTTCCCACACAGGGAAAAATAGAAAATCACTTGCAAGAGCAAATAAAATCACAAGGAAAAAAAAGGAAAAAAAAAAGTCAAGGTTTATTGACATCGCACACCGAAACTCAGATTTTTTTCTTCCCCTCAGAATTGCTCTCCGTGAGAAGAAAATTTTTAAAATAATTGAAATTTCTGTGAAAATTGTTTCAGATAACAGGAAGACAAGAATCATGTCAGCTTAAGAGATTGAGAAGAGTAATCTTTATATGTTTTTTCTAAATTTGCAGAAAAAGTCACATTACTAGTCATATATTTATATAAATATATTAGCTCTTATTTTTTCCTAAAAGTAAGTAAATTCAGGTAATACAGCTTTTTGAGTTAAAAAATAAAATAGAATTTCCTTATTCATCATTTGGAATCTGTTTGTTGGTAAGGTGAAGTAGAAATAAGTGTCACTGTAACAATGTGGAATTACAGTGGCAAAATGGAGTAATTGGAAAAATTGAAAATTGTAGATTCATTTAAGTTGGAAAAGAACTGTATGTTGTATCCTCCTAAAAGATGCCTAGTTTTATACAGATAAATATATGCACATTTTGATTTCCAGTCAGGTTGTTGCATTGTGGAAGGTGTTTTGAGCAGCTATGGTGATGAGTCCTTCTCTAGCTTGTGTAGGCTATTATTCACCTGAAATATTAACTTCTGTTGTCAGCTTTTGTTCAAATTACACTTATTTATTCATTAGAGAATTTTAATGGCTTCATTCAAGCTTACTTTTGACTTCAAATTAGTCATATTGTTCCAGTTTCAAGCAGCTTCATAAAAATGTGGTTTGCAGAAGTACAAAAATACTTGCAGTTGTCCCAGGAAAAATCCATTAAAAATGTAAGAGTGAGGCTTGTTTTGACAAATTTCAACATGAGTCATGAATACTAAGGATTCTTACACCTTTGAACATGAATTTTCAAGCTGCATAATTTTGATCCTAAAATAATACCTCATGACATATTATCACAAATAAATCCTCAGACCTTAAAACGTTACTTTTTATAACTAGTCACCGACTTATGACCTATAGAAACTGTCTTATCTTCTCTTTAGATTTTTTTAATACCTGAATAATAGATAAAGGTTGAACTGTGGTGTCTGAAAAAAACCAGTTCATTTTGGATACATAGCATGGAAAATTTCTGTTTTCTTCTGGTGATAAGCCCTGAAGACCTCTGTTTCATCACTTTTTATAGTATCCATGCATATTGAAATGGATTCATTGGTAATGACAACTTTATTCTGAGATTGATTTTGGTGGAAATTTAGACAACAGTGCAACTGCACTGAAGCCTCCAACTTGGTGTTTCTCAGAATGTGAAAGTAAAACAGCACATGGTGTTTTTCATATTCCAAAAGTGAAAATATCCTGTTAGGGGGGCACTAGATGTGCAGAGGTTGAATAAAATCATGTCACACTGTAGTCACTGATTCCATGTTCTTTGAAAGGGACTACACAGTTCTTTTAATTACTGGCTTGCAGCTTTGTGGAAGTAAGGTTGCTTTCTTATTCTCAGTTAGCATCTTTTGGTTTTTTATCATATCACAACAGATATAATCAAAATTCACTAGTTGGGCTTAGATAAATTTTAACAGTTCAGTGACATTCACAAATTAAAAGTAATAATAATTTGTAGGTTTTGGGGTTTTTTTCAGCAAACTTTTTTTGCAGTATTTTGCTTGTAGTGCTACCAAAATTTTTTTCTGAGTTTCTCTATGAATTTAATATTCAGTTATGTTAATACTGAAACTGAATTCCTGTGTGTGCTTTAGCTAACATGGAAGCACAGTTTGCAGATTCATCTGCTAAGCTTACTGAGAAAGTGAAAATGCAGTGCATATATCCAAAAAAAAAAGCTGTGATAATCCAGACATCCCAGATGAAACTTAGTGTAACTCTTAGGGAAAACACAGCTGTCTTGAATCCAATCTATGGCATACATACCAAAGACAAATACAATAGAAGAATTTATTTTGAAAATAATGCTCTTCATGAAGAGCACTTTGGAAGACCACGGTCTCCACTATAACCAACATTTCCTCCATTGTAACTAACCCAGATGGAATTTTGAAAATGGCAATAAAAATTACTCAGGTCATAAAAGATCTTATTTTTTAAAAATTTCAGATATATGCAAGACAGAAATCTATGCCAATTCAGAGAGCATCTGCTATTGCAACTTTTTCTTTAAAATAATTTTTTTTTAAAAACGGAAAAGGGAAGAAGGAGAGAAAAAGATCTAGCTATGCCCATGTACTTTCTGTGTAGCTGTCCATGTACTTTCCAAAAATGCTGTAATTACCTGACAGCTCATCCCATTTGGTTTCCCTTTCAGTCCTATGACTAAGAGGAGAAAGAACTCTTCCAGTAATTTTTCATGCATGCCTAATCAACATGGGTCAAACTGAAAACTGAAAACTTAGAAGAATCATTATGTACATATGACAGAATAGCATTCAAAAATAAGAAATTTGTCTTATTGTTTTGTTGATTTGTTAGTCACAATGTAGAAAAATTATACTCCTCTTTCCCATTTCCCCGAGTGAAAATAGATGCCGTTCAACATTTGCTTGTATTTCCCAGCTAGGAAATAAAAGATCAAAAGGAAATTTCAGTTGCTAGCATTTGAAAGACAGGCAAAACAGATCTCTTATTTAGTTCAATCCCACCTGACTTCTGGCAGGGCAAAGCCCTTATACACAATGGGTCAATTTTCTATATAATTCTGGAAGTTAGATGCAGTAGAGATCTGGAAGTTCTTGTAGTCCTTATTCTGGCCAAGGCAACAGTGATGCCCGCTGTTTTTTCCTGGATGTCTCTGCTAGAGTTGATCTGAAATTATGCAAGAAACAAAGCAGCCACCTTCATGTGGAATGATCTTCTTCTGTCCAGCACCTCTACTAGGCAATCACCTTACAGATTTGAGTACCCTGTAAATCACAAAAAAAGTGGATTTATACCAGAGGTAGGTTTTTTGGAAATTATTTTGTAGCGTTTAGTGTTCTCAGCACGTGGGATTTCTCTCTTGGTTTGAGCACACTAAAAATGAAACCTTAATCAACAGCAAACCCCTCATGTTTCAAGTATGTCTATTTAAATCAACTACAAAGGTAGACAATAATTTTGAATAGAAATTAATTATTTCCGTCTAAAGAATCAAGATTTCTGAGAACAATCCTGTTCAGCTCCTGGTAGATATGTATAAACATGATCTGATCTGGGGAAAAAAATTAAGTGTATTGCCAGCAAAGATAAATATTACAGCTTTAATCTACACTGCAAATTAAATATGTTATTAAAACCACACTCTAGAGAATGTATTTATTTATGAAGTAGTCATAGTAGAACTGTTTTCAGTCAGACTTTATCTTTACCAGCATCTTTGTCAGTACCAAGTATTTTAACTCCTGGATGACATGTTGCTGAGACTAAATAAACAGTAAACTACACATCCATGTAGACAGTAGTTTAGCTTGCTGCTGACACCAGATAGATATTTTTTCTTGTCTTCCAAACTGTAAAATTAGGACATTGATGTTAATCTTTAAAGTAGAGTATTGAGAAAGCTGAGTGTTAGTCTCATATTTTACTGGATATGAATCTTGTTCTAAAAGATTCACATAAAAAATAATGGGGGTCCTGGTATATTAAGTGCTTTTTAAGCTATCTTTTTTTTTCATGGAACAAAGAAATCCGGCCAACATACAAGAATGATAATTTTATAGGTAATTAAACTTTTTTTCCAATTACAGTGTGGGGTTTTTTGTTTGGATTTATAAGCTATTGATTCCCAATAGACATTACTTTTCTAAAAGCATTAATTTATCTACAGTCCCCCAGACAAATAAACAACTCACTGCAAAATCCATTTCTTCTTCTTCAGTTAATCAACAAAAATTTAAAAGACTAATTTCTTTTTCTGTGATTTGCATGGTGTCTAATGCTTTGTAATTCATGCTTTTAGTTTTAAATATTGATTGGCTGAGCTAAAGTTGTGAAGTGTGTGCCTGTAAAAACATGCAACTTTGTGGACACATATATTCAAAATGAAACTTAAGCTTGCTCTGTGAATTGACACAGTGAAGTTAAGAAGGAATTATTAAGGTTTTTGTGTCAATCAAAACCGAAGCCTGGTTTATAATTTAAATCATGCCACCAAGGTATTGAAAATTGTTACGATTTATTTATAATGACCTGTTACTGTTGGACACAGGGACATTCCTGCACCAACTTAAGCAGGTAACTATGCCATTGAGGAATCTGCAGTGCATGCTTCAATGAAAGCTGACAGCAGACTAGAGGTGTAGAATATATGATTGACTTTCAAAATTTCCATTGAAAGGAAATAGAAGAAATAAATGGAAATAATACCATATGGCATTATGCTCATGATGGAGATTTCTTAACTAGACTAAATGTGAAATGTTCTTCACATGTCAATCATATCTGCTGGCATCTACATAAATTTGAATAAAGTATCTTGAGTTAACTTTTACTATCTTGCAAAACAATGAATGTTTCTGCACTCAGTCTGTTCCAAGTTGCTCTAACGCTTCATTCCTGGTAATCAACAGAGGTCATGAGTCTGATTCTGCTTTCCCATGGGCTTTGTATAATTTTTAAAAGTTCTAATACAAAGTGTGATTCAATTTAGTGTGATTCTGATCTGCATAGTTTGAATCCTTGAGTGCTGACCTTTAATGAGTAAAGATTTCAAGGAGTATCTAATGGTGACAGCAGTGTCACTAGATCCAGAAACTCACATGGTAGCAAAACCATGACACTACAAGATCAAAATGTTAAAAAAAGGTTGGGTATCATGGCTTGCTTTTCAAAACAAAAACAGAAAGAGAAGAAAGAAATCAGGTATTTGAAAAATATTAAGCATGTTTTTCTTGGTATTTTGACAATATCTCTATTTTCCTTTAGAGTAAAGGTGTCTTTGTAAAAAGAACGTTAGTGGTGGTTGCACTCTTTCATGTGTGGTAAAGATGTATTGAATGAATAAGAGACCACAAGAGATTTTTACTCTGAGGTGTCAAAATAATACTTGAGAAACTCTATTTAGGACTCTTCTTCTGGCTCAGTCTCTGGTCACAGAACAATTCACCCCACCATGATCTGAGTGGGGTGAACACCACTCTTTTTCAATCAAGGACAAAAGTGAGGAAAAAAAATAAAATTATGGCTGAGCTGGCATAAGGACCTGAGATCCTAGTATAGGAGACTATAGCTCTCATTACAGAGGTTTTCTCTTGGTGTACTGTCGTCCTTATTGGTAGATGGAAGACCCTAGAACTGGTGATAAATCACCACTTATATAAAATTTTTGATGCAATCATTCTAGTGATAGATTTTTTTTTCTTTACTAGATGTGGTGTCAGCTTAGTCCTGAAGATTTATCAGAATATATAATAAAAATCTTAGACGTATGTTGTTCCTTGTGCCATGAATTTTGGCTGAAGGTTTCCTATGGCATTTGTGAAATAGGTGAGAGAGGATTCTTGTAGAACGCACAATGTTATCCATGCTTTCTTTATGCCCAGTGACTGAAGCAGTTACTGAAACAGACTGACAGAAAAGAGATAATATTCAGGATATTATATCAGGAACTTCACAGGTTATGTAGCTACAGGATATTATTACATGTGAATGCGGTGCTGAAATCCTGCACCATAATTGCGAAGAACTTGAGAGTTCGTGCTGCCTCTTTTACACATGAATGTATGGGTAAAGAGCACTCTAGTTATCCCACAGGAAGATACTTGCCAGCTGGGTGAATCTGAGGCTTTTTTTTTTTTCCTCCTTGCAGAGTGAACATATATCCAACAGTTTTCAGAACTGAGTTCAAGGGACTTTTTTTTATCCTCAGTGTTCCCACATTATATGAGTCACAAATCCTCCTGCACTAAGCAGACAAAACACTCACTTTCAGAGAAAAATTCTTTACATATTTTCTAAGATACACTGATTATGCAAGAATAGTCAGTATCTTTATTCCATCATTCTTAATTAACAGTTTAAAAGTGATTTGTAGTTTCTTATGTACAATGCTTAGGGATGTATGTCTGAAGACTGATTTCAAGTTCAGTATAAAATGTGAGGAGCTGAGATTGAAGTCACTATTAATAGAAGAAGCATTACAGTTGAAGACATCAACAGGAGTTTTGATCATTGAAGAGATGTTAATTCATGCACTTGTTAACTGGAAGAAAAAGTATTTGAAGCTGCATGTGTTGAAACTTTAATTTCAAATGGAAGAGTGAGAGAGAGCAGTGCACTGGGACAGTCCATTGGACAGGGCTGTATGGAGGTGCATCTTATACTTTTCATGCCAGGTGACCACTCAAAACACATTAAACAACTGTGACATTTCACCAATTTCCAGCCATGTATCTAACCGCAGCAAAGCAGAGCAGGAATTCTTGCAATCCTTTCTTTTGTTTCAAACTATTAACTTTTGCAAATAAATGTATACAGAGAAAAGATATATCTACAGTCTTTAGAACATTAAAAGGAAACATTGAATGATATTAATTTATAAAAGTGTTGGCAGAAGTATTGGGAAAATTCCTTTTTTCTTTATATGATATGCATTGTCTTTTCCTGGTTTGTCTGGTGTTTTATTACCTTTGGCCACCTGAGGTATGGATACATTTATTTACTTCATCCTTTTCCAGACCTGTCTTTAGTCCTTTGGTTCTTTTCTGCTCTGTTAAAGCCATCAGTACAAAAGTTACTAATCTGTGATGGTTTTTTTAAAAGTATGAATAAAGTATCAATTTACAGAAAAAGAGTTTAAGCAATTATTCTGGCCAGGAAATTCAGGTTTTGTCATGTCATTTACATATCTGCCTTAAAGTACTTAGTCTGTTGTTTTTCAGCTTTACTTGACTCCATGGAGCATTATAATGAGGGTGTATAAACAGAAAAGATAAGACGTCAACAGACAAATATTGGGTATAAAATATGGTTTCCATTAATATCTGTACATCAAGAATTTAAGAATTCTCAAACATGAATTGTATTTCTGTCTTGTTCCAAATCTAGCAAAATAAATTAGTGATAATTTACATGCAAAATGTCTTCCAGG